CTTTCCTGAAACTTGCAGTTACCTCACCAGGATTGTTCTTTCTTTCTCTTCTCTTCTTTTATCTTGTCCCACCCCTCACTTTCCTCCCTACAATGAACCCTGGCATGTCCGGTCATGTTCATGCCATAAACAAATCACTATAGGTGATATTAAGAAAGTCTCTATGTCGGGTGGGCCCTGTGGCTTAGCGGTTGAATGCACGCACTCCGCTGCTGGCGGCCCAGGTTCTGGATCCCGGGCGCGCACCAACGCACTGCTTCTCCGGCCATGCTGAGGCCGCGTCCCACATACAGCAACTAGAAAGATTGTGCAACTATGACATACAACTATCTATTGGGGCTTTGGGGGGAAAATAAATAAATAAAATTAAAAAAAAAAAAGAAAGTCCCTATGTCAAGCACTGTGTTAGATGATATTGGCTATTAATTTCTCATCATTGTAATATCCCCATAAGGTTTCATGATACAAACACACACATATGTACATAAGCACACATGCACACACATTCACACGCATGTGTCTGTGTGAAAACAGTTTAAAACAATGCCAAGGGACCCACAAATTAAAGTATATGATTGCCTCTGGGTACAGAATGACAAGAATGGAGGAAAATAAAAGTTAATATTGTCTTTATACAAGCTATTTTGTTACTTTAAGAAGAGAACTATATGGCAAATGTCAAAATGTATTAATTCTGGAAACATGAGGACTTGTCCTGATATTCTGTGTTATTCTGTCTGTTAAAATATTTCATAGGTTACTAAAGAGATATTGGTACTGGGGATGTAGTCAATAAGGTTTGCTTAGTCCTCTGTCTCCTGTGCGAGAGTCCTCATAGACAAGAACCAGAGTTAAGACCAGTGGCCATCCCGACAAAGGAATATAAACAACCAGACATGGAAGGATAAATATAAGATGGCCATTCACCTTAATCCCCTTCCCAGAAATTGAGGAATATTTTAGAGAATTCTACAATATTCCACAAAACTGTGCAAGATAAAGTTTCCCCTGAGAATGGAAAAAGACCCTAGAACTTTAGGATCAGAGTAGATAATTTGCAGATTGATAAGCATTGTTGCAAAGGTACAAGAAAACGTGTCAGATGATAGACAATTAGGCAGACACTTCATAGATGAATAAGATCAAGTCATCTTCAGCATGCTCCCACTCAACCCCAGACGGGCTGGTAGACAAACACCTCTCCCGATTTGAAAACCAGACTAGGAAATGTCAGATGACTGGGTACCAACCCTAAGGAAGGATGCTCAGTGCTCCCTTTGATATTGAAAGACAAAAAATATAAGCCTTGTTCTCAGGGCACATGGAAACATAGAGTGAAAGGCTGGGCTGTTGTGCAAAGGTGAGATACCCGGGTAGAGGCTCAGAGTTGCTGCCTAGTGACCTGAGCAAGGCTATTCAGTAGGGTGGCCACAGGCAGACTCTTTGCAGTCTCTGTGGCCCTTGGGGCTTCAATATCCATAGTTTCTCATTAGTCAAACTCTTTTGCTTTCATTATTATCCCAGGGCAGTGAAAACCCCTAAAAGCTCAGACAAGGAAGAACTTAAAACTAGCTCATTCCTTCATCTTGGGATGCCAAAAGTATGCAATTCTCTTCCATCCACCTAGTTCTGTTCACATCCATTTCAAGAGCCTTTCATACATGGACAAAATTTCCGTCTGCAATTGAAATCTAGTTTTCTTTCCTAAGGCACATTCAAAGGCACCCTTTATAACAACAATCTAAGGAAGATTGAAAGGATATTTAGGCTCAAAAATATAGTTTATTACAGGGAGATGTGTACCTTATAAAACGCAAGTGAAAATATAGAAAATATACCTTAAAAAGCATATTCTAAGGACTAAGTCTACATATGGCTCATTGCATTCTGTTTCTATATATTATATTTAGCAGTTTATAATATATTCTCTATTATCAAAATGGACTGTGCATGAGCGAGTCCATGATACTTTGTCAGCAAAATGGCGAAAGGACATATTAGGCAGCTGGAAGCTCTTATCCTCTCAAAGAAATGTTGAAAAATAAGCAGAAACTGCCAGAACTAACTTTGTCAGAACTCTTGAAAATAATGAAATTTTACAGGAACCAAGTGAGTTCTGAATCAAGAAAAAAGCAACTTCAAACAGGCAGAAAACATTTGTGGCATTTTTACTTGCCCTTGTCCCACTCCCTCCCTGACATGGCAGTAGTCTTAGTCTTAAAATGGTCACAGCCTGTGTTCTCGCTATGAGACCATGGTCCATGGATTCAGAGGAAACAGAGTAAATCTCTTCTCAAATCACTCTGTATGCCTGTTCTAACCTGTCTGGGGCTACCTGAAGGACTAATATGAGTCATTCATCTCTGTTTTTCCTAATTCAGAACTCAGGCTGGAAAAGCAGCAAGCACTGTTCAAAAACATTGCAAAGGAAACTGACAGACCAGATATGCCTATCATAAAATATTAAAATAAAAACACAAAATAAACCAGCTAAGCCTCAGAGCAAAAAGAGAGGAAAATTTTCTTTAGGAAATAGGACATTAAAAAATAGCCAAGAATGTGGGAAACTTTAGAAAGGTACATGCATGTCTATGGAAAGAAATATACTCAGAAAAGACCAGAGAAGATCTAAAACTTTCATGTTAACCTCAAGTCTCAGTGCATATGTGTTGAAAGAGTATTGCAGCACAGATCCAATATGTAAAGACTAAGAGAGGTGTGTTATTTGCTTGTTTGTTTGTATCACTCCTGTTATTCAAGGAAATTTATTAAAGCACAGGCATAACAAAGCTAAAGAACATAGATTTCAATGTCTACATACAACAGAAATTTCAGTCTTTGCAAATATATTTTGGGAAAGTCACTAAACAAATAGGCTACTACAACCTTCATCAATTTTTTAAGTAAAACTCTAGGGGATATTCTGAAATAAAGAGCTACACATTATAATATTGAGTCTAAGAAGCAGAAAAAAAAAAAGAGTGAAGGAAAGTGAGTAGAAACCAAGGGACCTATGGGACACCATCAACTGAAAAAAATATTCATTATGAGAGTTCCAGACGGAGAAGAGAGAAAGAAAAAAATGGAAAGAATATTTGAAGGATTAATGGTCAAATTAATTAATTAATGGTCAAAACTTCCCAAATATGGTGAAAGACATAAACCTACAAAACTAAGAAGCTTTATGAACTCCGAGGAGGATAAATCAAAGATACTAACATTAAGACGCATTATCATCAAACTGACAAAGCCAAAGGAAAGAGAATCTTGAAAGGAGCTCATCACATACAAGAACTTAAGAGAAAATAAACTCTCCACATACAAGAGATCCTCAAAATATTAACAACCTATTTCTCATCAGAACCACAAAGGCCAGAGTATAATGAGATGACATATTTAAAGTGCTGCAAGAAAAGAAATTGTCAACAAAGAATATTTATCTGCCAAAACTTTCCTTCCAAAAATGAGGGAGAAATAAAACATACCAGATAAATAGAGCTGAAGAGGTTCACTATCACTAAGCCTGCTCTATGAAAATATCTAAGGAATCCCTTCACATTGAAATGAAAAGCCACTAGAGAGTAATTCAATACCGTATGAAAAAATGAGGATTTCTGGCAGAGACACAGGTGTAGGAAGGTAAAAGAGCTCGTATTTCATTTTTGGTTTACAATTCCACTTTTTATTTCCCACTGGATTTAAAAAAACATGTAAAAATTTTTAAACCTATGGTATTAGCCTCAATGTATAACAATATAATTTGTGACAGTATCAACACATAGGAGAAAGGATAGAGCCATATAAGAGCATGGGTTTTGCATGCTATTGAAGTAAAAGTGGTATGAATTCAATTAGGTTGTGAAAAATTTGGCATTTTAAATTTAATGCCCATTGTCACCACAAAGAAAATTATCTGGATATACAAAAAAGGCAATAGAAATGAAATCCAAATTGTTCACAACAAAAAATCAAGGAGATAGAATAAAAGGCAGTAATGGAGGAAATGAAGAACAAAAAACAAGTATTAGACATATAGAAAATAAATTTTTAAAGTAAAGAATAAAGTGTATATTTATTAGTAAGTACTTTAAAGGTAAGTGGATTAAACTCTCCAATCAAAAGGCAGAAATTAGAAGAGAGATAGAAAAACATAATGTGAATATATGATATTTACAAGAGGCTCACTATAGATTCCTAAACACAAATAGATTATAAATGAAGGATGGAAAATATACTCGAGGCAAATATTTACCAAAAGAGATCTAATATCAGAAAAAAAAAGATTTTAAGTAAAAACTATTAAAATATACAAAAAAATAGATAGAATACAGCTAGATGATAGATAGATAGATAGATAGATAGATAGATAGATAGATAGATAGA